TTTTTTTTTTTTTTTTTTAAGTTTTCTTCTCTCTCGTAAAGTCCCTATCTCTTCACTTACTAAATCCATCTTTTTCTGTAGCTTCTTTAATATAGTTATACTTAAAAAAAATAATAATACTGAGCCCACCCTTTTCTTTCTAGAATACATGTCTTGATAAATAGTGACAAAACAAACATTTAGGTTTCATACAAAGAATTGTTAGCAGGTTGCTTCATTAACGTAGGCTCATTGATTTTATTTATGTTTATCTACTTAGAAATGACTCAACTTATTTTGCCCAGTTGTTTCAAGATAATTAAAGTGTTTGAAAAAAAAAATGAGTGTTTCTGATTTTAGCTTTTTTTAATAACAGCTCTATTGAGATATAATTTACATACCGTAGAATTCATCCTTTAAAATTGTATAATTCAGTGGTTTTTAGTATATTCACAGAGTTGTACAACCATCACCACTAATTCTAGAGCATTTTTATCACCCCAAAAAGAAACTCCATACTCATTTACAGTCACTCCTCATTGCCCCCTCCTCCCAGCCCCTGGAAACCATAAATCTACTTTCTGTCTCTATGGATTTTTATATAAATGGAATTGTACAATATGTGATCTTTTGTGAATGACTTCTTTCACTTAACATAATGTTTTCAAGGTTCGTACATGTGGAAGCATATATGAGTACTTCATTCCTTTTTATGAATGAATAATATTTCATTGTGTGGATACGTCACATTTTGTTTTTCCATTCATTAGTTGATGGTCATTTAGATTGTTTCCGCTTTTTGGCTATTATGAATAATACCATTCATGTTCAAGTTTTATGTGGACACGTGTTTTCAATTCTCTTGGCTTTATGGCTTCCTTTTTTCTGAAATTTTTTCCTCTCAATTTCCACAACCACTGGTCATCTCAAACTCCATTCTGCAATTCCTTAGGCCAAGAAGTCTGTGGCTTTCTGCTTGAGTTCTATCTACCCCATGATGTGCAGACTGGGGAGTACCCTCAGCCACATCAACCTGGGTCTAAGCCAGTGTGTTTCCCTAATTTCAAGGATTAAATCCTTTCCATTTTCTGCCTGCTTTGGGTTGTTCTCCACTGCCTTTAGACAGTTGTTTTTTAAGTTATTTTGTACAGCATTTATTATTCTTATTGCAGGAGAGTGAGTTAGTCCAGTAGAAGCTACTCGACCATTACCGGAAGCCAGAAGTTGCAGACTAGGGAATTTGGATTTTTATTCTGCAAGCTGGAAGATTTTTAATGGAGGAGTGGTGTCATGAGGTCATGCCTTTGTAGATTACTACGGTGGTGGTTTGTAGGATGGGTTAGTGAGGGGAAAGTTAGGAGACAAGGCAAGCAGCTGGGAGATTCTTGCAGTAGTTCAGGAGAGAGGGAAGGCCTCAACAGGAGGAGGGAGACAGTGGAAATTAAAAGGGATGGTGAGGTCGGAGAGATTAAAAGAAAGATCCAGTTTTTGAGTTGGACCATAGGACCTTGTCTGAGTTTTTTGGTGCTATTGTAACAGAAATACCACAGAGGGGTGGCTTTAAAGAAAAGAAATTAATTTTCTCACAGTTCAGGAGGCTAGAAGTTCAAATTCAGGGTACTGGCTATAGGGGAAGGCTCTCTTTCTCTCTATCTCTGTTGGGAAGATCCTTGTTTGAGCTTCTCTAGCCCCAGAATTCTTCCATTCCTTGGTGATCTTCATGTGGCATCTGTCTTCCCTCGATTGTGCTTGCTTGTCTCTCTGTCTTTGCTGACCATTGTGGAAAATGATATGGTGGTTCCTTAAAAAGCTAGAAATAAAAATACCATGCAATTCAGCAATCCTATTCCTAGGAATATATCCTAGAGAAATAAGAGCTGTCACACAAATAGACATATGCACACCCATGTTCATTGCAGCATTATTCACAATAGCAAAAAGATGGAAACAACCTAAGTGTCCATCAACAGATGAATGGCTAAACAAACTATGGTACATACACACAATGAGAAATAACAATGATGAATCTGTGAAACATCTCACAACATGGATGAATCTGGAGGGCATTATGCTGAGTGAAATGTCAATCACAAAAGGACAAATACTATATGAGACCACTATTATAAAAACACATGAAAATGTTCCCACACAGAAAGAAACAATCTTTGATGATTACAAGGTGCAGAAGGGGAAAACACTAACTAGATAGTAGGTAAGTTGTAACTTTGGTGAAGGGTAAGACAGCACACAAAACTGGGGAAGTAGCACAACTTCACTAAGGCAAAGTCATAGAAGATTTGTAGATACACCCAAACTCCCTGAGGGATGAATCTACTGGGCTAAGGGCTGGAGACCACGGTTTTGGAGGACATCTACCTCAATTGGTATAACATAGTCTATAAAGAAAATGTTCTACATCCAACTGTGGTGAGTAGAAACTGGGGTCTTAAAAGCCTGTGAGCAGCCCCTAAAGTTCATCTAGTGGTCCCATCCCAGCTGGAGCAAAGGAGAATGCAAAGACCAAAGACACAAGGGAAAGATTAGTCCAAAGGACTAATGGACCACAACTACCATAACCTCTACCAGACTGAGCCCAGAACAACTAGGTGGTGCTCAGTTACCACCACTGACTGCTCCGACCTGGACAGAGTGGGAAAAAAATGTGAAACAAAATTCAAATTCACACCTACACACACAAAAAATAATAAGACTGAGACTCTGGTCTGACAGAGACTGGAGAAACCACAAGAGTATGGCCCCCAGACATTCTTTTAACTCAGTACTGAAGTCACTCCTGAGGTTCACCTTTCAGTCAAAGATTAGACAAGGCCAATGGAGCCCTGGTGGCACAGTGGTTAAGTGTTTGGCTGCAAACCAAAAGGTCAGCCTTTTGAATCCACCAGCCACTCCATGGAAACCCTGTGGGACAGTTCTAGTTCTACTCTGTCCTGTAGTGTCGCTATCCATCGGAATTAACTGCAATGGGTGTGGTTTTTGGTTTTATAAGGCCAACAATAGCACATGTGAGGAGTGCGCTTCGTGGTACAATCATGTATACAAGACAATGGGCACACCAGCCCAAAAGCAAAGAAGGCAGGAAGGGACAGGAAAACTGGACGAATGGGAACAAGGAAGCCAGGGTAGAGAAAGGGAGAGTGTTGACACATCGCGGGGCTGGCAACCAGTGTCACAAAACAATTTGTGTATTAACTGTTTAATGAGAAACTAATTTGCTCTGTAAACTTTCACCTAAAGCATGATAAAAATAAAGAAGTGATCAGGATTAGGACATACCTTTCACTGATAGGGCCTCACTAACATAACAAAGAAAACCTTATTGCCGTACAGGATTACATCCACAGTGTTGCTGTTGAGTCGATTCTGACTCGTTAACGACCCTATAGGACAGAGTAGAACTGCCCCATAGGGTTTCTAAGGCTGTAAATCTTTACGGAAGCAGACTGCCACATCTTTCTCCGGCAGAACAGCTGGTGGGTTCAAACCACCCATCTTTTGATTAACAGCCAAGCTCTTAACCACCAAGGGGATTAGGATTCCAACACATATTTTTGGGGGATACAATTCAATCCATAACAGATCTCCTCACTGGAAGGGGTCCTTAAGTGACCAATGAGCATTACCAGAGAGCCTGGCCTGGTTAAAGTTTAGTCCAGGGTGTGTCTCTGCAGAGGTCTGGGGAGTTTACTCACCTGGCATTAGTCCTGGAAACATTACCTGACTGAATCCCAGATCACTTCTGGTCTGCAGGTCTCCCGGGATCATCTGAGGGCTTTTGAAGCCCCAGGTCTAATTGACCCCGAGCTGGGGGTCAGTTGGAAACAGTTTTCTTCCGGCACTGAGTTCTGGAGTGGAGCCAGACAGGAGTTGGGGAAGGACAGGGAAGATGGGTTACAAATGCAGGCTACAGTGCCTGGACAGGCCTCAGCAACAACTATCTGGGCTTGTTCTTCTTGATGGTGGGCAAGGTTGAGCAGCCAATTATCCTTGACTTTACCTACCGCCTTTGTTGCTTTCTCTTTCCAAGGTGAAATGGATGATGTACTGGATTATATTTGCACTTTTCACCACAGCAGAGACATTCACGGACATCTTCCTTTGTTGGTAGGTACTCTAGAATTGGGACATTCAGGGAAGATTTTGCGTCGTCTCAGAGGAGAAGTGGGAAATGGCTAGAACTGGCTTCAGACTTTACCTCAGACCAGAGATGGAAGTGCAGGGGTGTTAATTGGAGCATTTTAAATAAATTAGTTTGTAAAAGCTATTCTTCCAGTAAATATTTATTGAACAATCTTGTATGCAGGTATTATTCTAGGTACTGAGGATATAGTGATGGACATGACAGGAGAATTATAAGGTGGCTATTGATGAGTATTGAAAAGAAATTTGGAGAGAGGCAAAGCACTGTTGTCCACTAAGATTTTGTTCATTCTCCCATTGTAGCTTGTAGGTGGGTTCACCTGTTTGTCTTAGTTCTCCTGCTAGGTGATAAACCCCTAAGAGTGAGGGCGTGTCTGACCTGGCTTTGGTGTCCCTATAATTCCTAGCACATACCTTTTACGTAGTAGGTTTTCAATAGAATTTTCCTGACTGAATGAATCAGTCAATACAAGAATGAATCAGTAAATAGCTAGCAGCTATTTTTGAGTAGAAAAGTGGGACAGGAAAAAAGCTTGAGGAAATGAAAGAAAATGTAATAATTGCTAATAACAGTAGAATGCAGTCTTGAGATTCTAGTTATGCTAATAAGAAAAGACTAGAAGGGACCCCCCCATAAACCAAAGTCTTGGAAACGTCAGGAATTAGTAGGCTATAACCACTTCCTTTTTCTTCTCTGGACAGTTATGCCAGCTTTCAGCCTGAGGAATAAGCCCATTCCTTTGTGATTTGGGATTTCCCTGGCCCCCAGGTAGTTTCAAAGGAAACTCCATTACCCAAGGTGAACAGGGAACACAGAGTAAGACTCTCTTGTGTTACTGGAAGGGCAGCACCTGAATGGGCAGGCCTGGAAGCCGCCCCAAAAGAAGTCTGCTACCCCAGCTTATCACGGGAGACACTGTGCCTGCCAGGCAAGGGAAGGCCTGGGCATGAAGCCAGGAGGTTGGGGAGCAGAGGTTTTTAAAGACTGCATCAGTGAGGATGGGATATGCAGGAAAGAGGAAGGAGGGTCTGTAGCAGGCTGGCCAGGGAATAAATGAGGCTCGGGCAGCCCAAAAGGACCACTCAGAAACCAAGGTGCAGACTCACCCCACAAGCCCCTAACCCCCGTAGGTGGGGCCAGGGGAGGGAAGGAGACTCTCTGTTGTATACTCTTTTGGACTTTTAGAATTTTTAAAACTATGTGCCTGCATTGTCTATTTTTTTAAAAAAACATATCTTTTACGAATAAGTAAGAGCCACAGTACCCTTGGGATTATCTGTGTATGTTGTGTTGATGCCTGAGCTCACCAATTTATTTGCTTTCCCCTTGGGGCTGGTAAGTAGTTGTTTTCAAAACAAAATATCCTCCTTAATCGCCAGAGTATTCAAATGTGGGAGAATCATGGCTTCTATTCCTTCAGCCTCATCTCTTTTCTGGCTGTGAAACGTTAAATATATCTCGCTATGAAAATGTTCCCTAGTTTCTGGGGGAATGTTCAGGGCAAGCCTGTCAGAGGCAGAAAGCAGGGGACCTCGATGAGGAGAGGAAGAATGGGTGGAGCAGCTAATTCAGCAGAGTCTATGTGAGAGACAGTTACAGGGCTCTGAAATGGCTTGCTAGAAACTGCTTTTTATTTCCAACTCCTTTATTTCTAGGAGGGAGGACACCTAGGGGGAATTTACTTTTCTGATACCTCGGGCTAGCGCAGGTCTTCTTGTTATTTGCTCTTAGAGAATCCTGCCCTTTTCCCTCATAGCATCAGGACTGCTAAATATGGTTGTACAGGTTGTTCACATCACAAGGTACCTGGCTGAGGAGGCGATCGGAGCTGAAATCCAGACCAAGCTTTGCTTGCCAAGCCGGGTGCCTGCAGAACTGCATCCAGTTGTAGGGACTGGCTTTGTCTAGCAGATACAAAGGTGCCACGCAGGTTAGCAGAGGCCCTTGATAGCCCTAAGGTCAGGTTTCTATTATATATTATTTGTGATTGTTTGAGGAATTTCTGTTTCCCCAACTGGACTGCAAGTTCCAAGGGTGCCAAAAGTTTGTCTGTGTCTCCCACTAGACTGGAAGCTCTGAGAGGACAGGGATCAGGTCTTCTTTGCTCACCGTTTTATCCCCAGTCCTTAGCACAAGCCGACACATATAGGTGCTGGGTACCTGTTTGTGGAATGAATAAATGGATGGGCTCAAATGTATGCAGGACTTCAAACTCCGGAATAGTATGTTACCTGCACCCTAAGTCTTATTTCTTTTAGCACCAAAAAGATCAAGATCCGTTTGCCTCCCATTGACTTGAGTAGGGTAAGTAGCGCCCTATTCCCTGGCAAGAGCTGGGTTCCTGTCCTCTGCCTCTGTTTGGACCAAGGAGCCAGCCAAGAACAGGGTGGCTTTTATTCTGTCTGGAGGTTCCTTATCAGCTCCGCTGTGCTGCACTTCCTCCTGGTGTTGGCGTCTTCTTGGCTCGTGAGTAAAGAGTGAATGACCATGTGTGGGCACAGACCTGGGCTTCAGCTTCCACCACTGCAGCTGGAGCCCCGGCTCCGCCCTAACACAGCGCATCCCGTCAGGAGGCTCCAGCTGTTGCCAGGCAGGGCGTAGAGTGATCCCTGGAGAGAAGCTGGTACCCGGTTTGCTTTGACAACAAAAGAAAATAGAAATTGGACTTTCAGGGAGAGGCCTTGGAGGTGTGTTCTGAGTGTGCGTGTGTGTGGAGAAAGGAGATGTCCGGGGGACCTGGCAGTGATGTGCAGCCAAGAGAGGAGGCCCTGTGGCTGGGGTCCTGTCTGTCATAGGCCCAGGGCGGTATTGCTGAGAACCTCACGGGACGTGTGTTTTCTTCTCTGTCTCCAGGTTTCCATTCTATTATGAACTAAAAATAGCATTTGTAGCCTGGCTGCTGTCTCCCTACACAAAAGGCTCCAGCCTCCTATACAGGAAGTTTGTACATCCCACGCTGTCTTCAAAAGAAAAGGTAACGTATCCCGCTCGACCTTTCACCCCTTCTGGTGAGGGCTATGGTTTAGGGAGAGGGTGCCTGGCAGGTTGGTGGAATGATTATGTGGTTGCAGGACACCCCTCGGCTGGCTCTTCTTTATCCCAACAAGTTATTCCTTCTAGTCTTATTTTTTTTTTGTGTGTCTTTTTCTGATATGTTTAGAAACAGTGGTGAAATTCTCTAAAAGATGTTATATATCATTATTTATCGTAAAACATGTCCATAAATTGAAACAAAGAAAAACTTCACTCACAATTCAACCCCCTCAACTGAATCGCCTTCCTTTTTTCATGCTGAGCCCGTGTCCTTTTGCAGATATGATTTTTTACACAGACTATTTAAACTTTTATGTAGACTATTCTTTTTTAGAAAAAATAGACTTTTAAAACTTAACACAGATACAATGTATGCTGAGATCTTAAATATGTTTGCACATAATCCATTTCTGCATGGTCTTCATAATGATCTACGGTAATAGAACTGTCCCCTGCTAGCATGGAGTTTAGCACCTTCTTTTGACTTACTCTCTTAGAATAAATTCTCAAGAGTGGGATTGTCGGGTCAAAAGATTCCAACATTGCGTAATTTGTTAATTGTATTATATTACTCTCTAAGCTAATCAGTAAGGGTTTTTTAACATAAAATTGGAGCACTATGAGTGTCTTGATATATTAATTTTTATTGTTTCTAAAAGTTGAATAATTTGGACTTCTACGGGAAGGCTTTGGGGAACATATCAATTGGATGAGCAAGCTACTGCAGACATGTTGAGAATCCCTTTAGGAACTAGGACCACTCATCTCAGAAGGGTGGATTTTGAGGCATGGAGAGCTCTATCTTAATCTGGTTATTAAATTCCTACACTTCCTACTTGCCTTTCCTTGAACGTTGAGCTGACCATGAAGCTGCCACTGTAATATTCATTGAAGTGAAGTGTCTGGCTCTCAAGGGCTGCCAAGAATCACTTCTCAAGTCAGTCAAGGGTCACAGTTAGAGGACTCACCGCTGTGATTTCCTGGGGAAGCTTTATACAGAGAATGGAGAAGGGAGATGACTAACCCCTCTGCAACCCTCAAAGCACAGGAAATGCACTAACATGCTGAAGTTCAAACAAGACTGAGGTCAAGTGTTACTACCTTACTCAACTCTGCAGTGAGCTACTGTGAGTCCAAAGCAGCCATTTCCATACAGCACCACCACCAACAACAAAATGGCCCAGAACAAAAAAACTGAAGAAACCAGTGGATCCAAATTTGAACTGAATCAATATTTTACTTTGTTTTGATCCCTGACGGAGACCTGAACTCTGTTTTTCCACCACATTTTCACCTGGTTGTATGGTGCTGGATGAGTTCTAGTTTCTGCTTTCATTTTAGTATCTGTAAAATGATCTCCCTTATCAAAAAAAGTAAGTCCCATTCCTTTCTGCTTCCTAATCTCTCCCACTGATATGCATAGTGATATACTGGGATATAGAATGAAATAGCTATAGGATAACAGAATTTTAGAGCTGCAAGGGCCCCAAGCCCCTTGAACTGAGGACGATAACAATGGTTATCATTTATGGAAACCAGATGCTCTGTTAGATACTCTGCTGGAATTAATCTCATTTAATCTTCACAGTATTCCGAAGTACGTTACAATCATGATCCTCATTTTTCAGAAGATGAAATTGTGCATAAACTAAAACCAAACCTGTTGCTGTTGAGTCGATTCTGACTCATTGTGACCCCGTAGGACAGAGTAGAACTGCCCCATCGGGTTTCCAAGGAGCGGCTGCTGGATTCGAACTGTGGTGCTGACCTTTTGGTTAGCAGCTGAGCTCTTAACCACCGCGCCACCAGGACTCCGAAATTGTGCATAGATAGGCTAAATCCATTCCAAGGTCTGACAGCCAGTTAGTGACAGGTCAAGGTTAGACACTCGATTCTTAGCATCCTTTCTACTCCAAGTTCTTTCCATGTTTTATAGAGGCTGTGTATAGAATGGCAGGATTGTCCACATCCAGGACCCCCTAGAATCTCCTGGGAAGGTTAGAGGCTTTAGAAACAATCCTAGGATATTGCTTGCAGAAAAGCTACGTGTGTCAGCAAGTCACTGGTTTTTTTTGGTTTTTGTTTTTTCAAAAAATCCCTTTTCCGATACCCTACAATCTCCTCTGAAGTCTCTGAGTGGTGCAACTGGTGAACACGATTGGCTGCTAACCAAAAAGCCTGGTGATCAACTTCTGAAAAATGAGTCATTGGAAACCCTGTGGAGCATACTTCTACTCACACACATGGGGTCACCATGAATGGGAATTGACTCAACGGAAACTGGTTTGGTTGGATGTCTCCTCTGTTTCTCCTCCTCTTCCTACGTTCACACACACACACTCAGAGTATCTAGGACTTTCCAGTCCCAGTGGGGATCAGTGGTGAGGCAAGCTCTAAGCCTGGAGCTCAGGAGAGGGGAGAGAGAACAGAGATTTATTTGAACCTTCCAACTCAGTGTGCCTCTTTGCTTCTTTGACAGGAAATTGATGACTGCCTGGTCCAAGCGAAAGACCGAAGTTATGATGCCCTGGTGCACTTCGGTAAGCGAGGCTTGAACGTGGCAGCCACAGCGGCGGTGATGGCTGCTTCCAAGGTACCGTGCCAGGCCCTGACCACCACGGCTACGTGAGCATCTCGGTCCCTCCAGTTGGCCCGCTTGACCCACAGCAGTTCACTCAGGACAGGACAGGGACCATTCTGTGACTCCTCATCTTTTTTGAGTTCCCTTTGAAAATCTGATGGAAAAAAATGGTGAAGCTTTTCCCCAGAAAATTGCATACACACAGAAGTGGTGTGTGCAATACTAAGAGATTCCAGAGTCCCTGAAGCTTATCTGTGGGTCCCAGGTTAAGAGTCTCTAAATTGCTTGGAGCTTCAGCTTAGGGGAGAGAGGAATGAAGAAGGAAGGGGAGAAAGGGAGACAGCTCTTCGCTGCAGTCTCCCAGGTGCACTGGGAGAGTCACATAAACTCAAAATGGTGAAGAGACTGCCTGAGTGAGGAGTGGACCCCAGCTCACAGGACCCAGCAGACAGGGACAGAACCTGGGGCACGCCCCAGGGTAAGTTGGGTGGCCCAAGCATGGAGGACGATGATGTGCGTAGCAGACATACCTGAGATGGAGAAGGTCTGCAGTAAACACTGGGCTTGTGGGATATTGTGATCTATGCATGACTTCCTTCTCTTTTCCATCCAACCCTTTGCAGTCCACTGTGTTCCTTCCTAGCTTCTTCTCACTTCACATTCTTTTTGTCCTTGTGTCAGTTTCTCATCATGTACCCAGGGTTGAAAACACAAATCAGTCAGATGTTTACTCTCAGAGTAAACCCAGTGGTTGCCCTAGTGTTCCTTGGCGGCAGTCCCTTCCCCCAAGCCCAAATGTGTCTAGGGGTCTACAGTTGGCTGGGGTGGAGGAAGGGCAGTTAGGCTAATGTTTGGGAAGACTCAACGGTTGGGAGGTGAGTTGTATTAGCAAAGGGAAGCTACCAGTTGTGGATGGTGATGTGAAGGCTTGGGGATAGAGGTGGTAGAGCTGTGAAATGACTTGCAAGAGGATGATTAATACAGATCTTGGTGCACCATGGGCTTTGAAGGGGTGGCAAGATGAAGGGTGCTGAGAGTCAGCTGGGTCGAGGAACCTGAGCTGGGTCATCTGTGCCCTAAACCAAGAAGAAGCATGTTAGGGGCATTTCTGGGAGAAGGACTGAGCACACAGGGCTGCAGACAAAGGCCGGGAGAGAAGGAGGGAGAACAGAAAGGGAACAAATGTTTCCTGTTTCAGTCAAGGACCGGCTCCTTCTATAACACAGAATCGTAGTGAAGAGTTTTGCTCCTCTGTCCACCTGGTATCTGAAGAGTCCCTGCCCACCTAAGTATAATAGTTGCTGGCAAGTGATGGATCCCAGTGATTATCTTTGATATCTTTCAATACCAAAATCTGCTTTGATATCCCAAGGAGATTTACGAAGAGCAATGAATTCTAAGAGCGTTCAATTTGGGATGGAACCACTTTGCTTTTATTTTTAAGCCAAAAGAAAAAAGAATTCAGAATCTCTAAATTCTAAATCCATCAGGCCAGTCTTGCAACATAAAACTACAAAACCCCTCTCTCGGCCTCTTTCCCCCACCCCATCTCCTCTGCTTCTGTATCCTGAAGTCACAATTCAGTTGTACAGTATAAATGGCGTATATTTATTAGGGCGGCTCAATAGTGGCCACCCAGCCCCTCCGCCGCGTGTGTGGAAATTCATTCCGATGGTAACGTCCGCAGGGCCATCCTTTTCCAGGTCTGCTTCAAGCTGGAGCCTCCAGAGGCTTGATCCCATCTTGGCCCGTGGTTCCTGACCAGTCACCACCTGCCCCTCTGACCTCCGGGAGCCCGTGTGCCCGCCCGAGACTTCTCCAGCCAGGCACCAAACGACAACTGAAACCTGAAGAAAGCTTCAGGCAGTCTGACACTTGCCTCATGGGTTAACTGCTCGTTCGTTCTTCTCAGACCGACTGAAGCAATGAGGGACGCCAGCTTTCTGCTGAATTTGGTTTCAGGGGATAAAATGTTCTGCCTTGCGGTGGTTTTGCTTTTCCTCTCTAAATAGAAATATCTTGAGAGGGAAAACACATCTTCTCTTTTAAAAATAATGCCCTCTATTTTTGAAACAGCTAGATGTATACTTAAAAAAAAAAAAAAAACCAGGTAAAATCTAGCCTGGCTGAGGTGTAAGATCAGTGGTTTCCATAGGAACAGTGGAGTGCTCCAGGCAGGGGTCAAAGGCTGATGATTCACCAGGGGGTCAGAATCTGGTTTTCACGTCCAAACCACCTGGGAAGTTTTGTTTTTTGTTTTTTAATAGATTCTCAGAGGTGCTGAATCAGAATCTCAGGCAGCAGGCCCATGAATCTCTATTTTCAACAAGTTCCCCAGATGAATTTCAAACAGCCGGCTCTGCGTGGGTCCCTGCCCAAGGGCCCATAAGGGCACAGTGATTAGAATTAAAACAGTCAACTTCTTGAACTGTCCTGAGATGCAGGTTTCTCCGCCTTAGAAACATTAACCTTGAGAATGAGGAAGGCAGTGTGTATAGCAACGTCTGTTTGCCTCAAGCTTAGTGCCAGCTGGGAAGTACTGTGGTCGAAATACAGAACCCTCTACCTCTTCCGTAGCCCTTTGCCCCCGGCCGAGCTCTTAGCTGCCTTATTGATTACCCAGGGGAACAGTCAGAGCCAGTGCCTGCAAAAAAGACGCCCTGCCAAGCCACCCATGGCTTGGGGACCATATAGTTTATTGTCCAAACCAGGACACATCAGAAAGTGGAAAGAATGCTGTAATAATTATGGCGGGACCAACAAAAAAAAAACCCACTGCCATCAAGTTGATTCTGACTCATAGAGACCCTATGGGACTAGGTAGAACTGCCCTATAGGGCTTCCAAAGAGAAGCTGGTGGATTCGAACTGCCGAGCTTTTGCTTAGCAGCCAAGCTTTATAACCACTGAGCCACCAGGGCCCCAAACCGGGTCTGTCTCGAGCAAACTGGGACTTATGGTTACTCTGCTGAGGAAAGCCAATTGCTGTTGAGTGGATGCTGACTCATGGTCAACATCAACTGGTTTGGGAGTCCCTGGGTAGTGCAAACAGTTAATGTGCTCAGCTACGAACCAAAAGATTGGAGGTTCAATTCCACCCGAGGCGCCTTGGAAGAAAGACCTGACAATCTAATTCCAAAAAATCAGCCTTTGAAAATCCTATGGAGCCACCTACTTATGGCTCCATTTTAAATTAAATCTCTTGGACCCTGCCTATCTTCTGCCTCCCAGAAAATACCCTCAACTCACAAATCAGTTCTCACACTACACATCTGCTGCATTTAGCTAGATGGACGTAAGAGAGAGCGTGAGGTAATGGAAAGACTGTCAGCTCTGACAGACTGAAAGGAGGGCAAGGCCCTGGTGCCGGAATCACGCCCCACCCTTTGTGTTTTCTTCCGTCCTTTGGTGGATCCCCAGGAGGAAACACAGAACTTAAATGGAAGAATGAAAGATCTTCGGGCTACGCTTTTAGTTAGTACCTTTTTATAATGTTGAGCCTTCCTCCCTAATAAAATTAATGTTTGCAGGGTTTTTTTCTTTTTCTTTTTTTTATCATTGTAAAGTGTGAAGAAACTGAGTAAACCATATCGCTGTACAAATATAGGTTCTTATTAATAATGTTTTATCTTAGAACTAGAAAAGTTAAACCAAAAAATTAGACATGGGAGATTTCTCACCAAGCCCCCACCCTACCCTCAGTTTTCTCCAGGGTGTGCTCACTGTGACGGGGCAGTGCTGATGTTTCTCTTCTCTCTGTGAAAACTGCCCTTTCTTCTTCCTGACAACGCGCTTCTCTAAAATCTGCTGTCTAAGGAAGTGTCCCTAGTCCATGAAAACTGCCCTTTCTCCTTCCTGACAACGCACTTCTCTAGCACCTTCTGTCTAAGGAAGTGCCCTTGTTCCTGGCTGGCTCTGCTGCTGGATATTAGCTGTTTCCTAGCCCGTAATTTCACCCAGAGGGAAAATTGAGCTCAGGTCTTTTTAAGACTAGAATTGAAAATCTCTCTATTTTTAAAAATAATGCCCTAGAAATGTATTTATTAAGCAAAACCATGCTCACTTGAAAGAAAAACCACAGTGAGAAAAACCAATTGAACAAAATTTTACAACTGTGAGGTATATCCAGTCACCCTCCGCCCCTTGATAGTTGAACCTTCTGCCAGCTCTGTTCCACCTGCCCAGTTCTCAGACCTGGGAAACCAGCCTTGCTCGTTACTTGTCTCATAACTTGAGAACTGATGTTTAGTTCCCCTAGAGATTCTGTCCCTAGAACAGTTTTAATGGTACCAGTACTGTTATTAAAGTCACCTGTTTAGGAAAGTGGCTCCAGGTTGTGTGCCTTCTGTGAATTAGGAACTCGGCTCCCCCAGTGGTTTTCAGATGTGTTGTGTGGTTTTTCCCTTTGAATCTATTATTTCCCTATTAGCTTGTTAGCTTCTTGAGTTGAGGGGTTCTGTCTTCTTTTCCTTTGTTTCTTGCTTTAAAACAGAGCAAAAGCAAAAAACAGTTACTGGTTGCTTAGTATTTTACCCTCTTAGCTACTCATTAAACCTTCTTGAATGACCTAAAGAATAAACCTTTTTGATTCCTCCAAGCCTGCTCTGTTCAGTGTGGTAGCTACTTGCCACATGTGAGTATTGAAATTTAAGTGAAGTAAAGTTAAAATTCAGTTCCTCATGCCATACTACCCTCATTTCAAGTCCTCAGTAACCTCTTGTAGCTGGTGTAGATATGGAACATTTCCATCACAGAACATTCTTTGAGCCGTGCTGCCCTACCTCTATTCAGCCTTTTGGGTTCTCTTTGCTTTATTTTCACGCCTTCCCCTACATCTGTCTGGCTTTGACAGCACCCCTCCCTTACCCTCTCAGCTCCTAGGTGCTTCTGTACATGCGGTTCACCAGGAGGACGGGGAGATGGAAGTCAGCCTTATAGCAGCACATCCGCTGTAGCCCCCGTTGCTTCATCCTCTCCCCTGGTTGCTCTGCTTTCACACCAGGACCCCCTCTT